ATTCTGACTACATTTGCGGAGCTGTGGTCCTCGGCAGTCAGCACAGGCATACAGGAGCCCGGCTCTTCCAGGACAACTCTAAAGTTCACCCAGAGTTCCCAGGAGGCCAGGCTAAGCTTTGCCTTCTGACTTCCATCTGAGCACACGGCAGTGTGTGGCCTTCCTCCTTTCCCAGTCAGGCTTCCCTCTCACTCCTCGGTCCTGAGAAAGCATTTCCTTAAAGTGAAGAACTCGCTTCCAAATCTTTGTCTGGGCACCTGGCTACTCATCCTAAGGGCTTCTTCTCAAGACCCTACCCTCAAGCATCCCTCTAGCTAGGTGACCTCCCAGACCCTCCTGTGCCTCCATGATGACTACTGTGTCCTCCCCTTCCTCCTCAGCTCTGATTGGGTCAAAATGGCACAACCATTAAATGAGACTTTGTACATAAAAACATGTCAGAACCCACAAATGCTCCGCAAGTCTGAATGACATATAGTAACAACCATTCTAACATGGCCCAGCACAAGCGGATGTGATAGTATATGCTCACAATCCTCAAACTCAGGACATGGAAACAAGACGGTTGTCAGTTCAAGTCCAGTCTAGGATACATAGTATGAGGTACTGTCAAAAAAAAAAAAAAACTCTTAAGAAAATTAAAAGATATTAATCTAGTGCCACATCCCCCATGAGGAGATGGTTCACAACTCTCTCTACCCCGTTCTATGTGGTTCCCTACCTCTCTACCTGCAGAGAGGGGTGGTCTATGATGCCCCGTCTGTCTTGCTCACGATGGTGCCTCAGCACCTAGGTAGGCATCTAACACACTGGGTAAGTTTAGTAAACACGTGTTGGGTAAAGTCACTAAGCTTCAGAACAGAAAAGACTTAAGACACCAACCAGCTAACTAGAGGAGCCAAGGTTGCAGCCCTGACCTCTTGTCAGCCAGACCCGGGAACTTTCCACATGAAGTTCCGCCTTCTAACGAGAGCTCTGTCTTCCTTGACAGACAGCAGAAATGGAAAACTAAGGCCCCTTTCCTCCAACCCAAACCCTGGCCAGCATCCAGGTACTGGCAACCAGCAATGTCCTGAGGGCCAAGATCATTCTATCTGTGGGGTATTCCACATGCCATTTCTATTTCCTCAACTTGAAGCTCCCTAGAGGCAGAGATGTTGAGTTCACCTTCCCCACCATCTACAGGAGCTAGGAAACTATCAGGAGAGAGAGGGGGGACAGAAGTGATTGATAGGATGGATCCAGCCTCACACACTCCCCCCACCCCAACAGCTCTATATTTCCAGCCGGGTCAACAGGTATGGATTTCAGTTCCAAGGGCTCAGGAATAGTCAGGAGATTTAATGAGATACACAGAAGACCACTCATGACGGCTGGTGTATGGTGAGCCCTTAGCAAACAGACTGAGAATAGTGGCAACAACAAGAGAGGCAACAGCGGCAGAGAAAGGCTGATCAATGCCAGCTACGTGAAGGTTCAAACAGGCAATGATCAGAGATACCTGGAGTCCGAAAACTTGTTCATTAATGCTTGTTAAACATTATCATACCATATCATAATCCCCTTTCCTTATAAAAAAGAAAGATATCCAATTACCCAAGCACAGTTCTCAAAGTAGCCCTTCACAAGAACAGGCCAATATTCTCAGGGAGCCCTAGGTTGTAGGTGGTACTAGATTTGGGTTCTGTTCCTACTCCCAGGAGAGCAACATTAACCACCCCCCTCTGACTTCCTCTGACAGCCTCATCACCGCTCCTCTTCCGGCTTCTATTTGTTCCTTTATGCAGGAAGAATACATTCATCCAACCCCACACATTGTAGATCAGCTTGAGCAACAAGCTCTGCCCTCTGCCATCTCACAGGCTGTATCCTCCACTCTCTTTCTTAACGAGAAACTTCATTTACAGGTTTTTCTTCCTCTCAAAGCCACCCCAGGGTTACTGTCTTATTGTGAGCAGCAATGGCAGGGGTCTGGGAATCAGACTGACAGGTTTATAGCCCCAGTTCTGCTGCTGTCTTTTTATTCAACCCTGGGCAGACTTCTGCTCCACACTACCTCCCTCGCCTTAGCAACAACACTGTCTGCACCTATCCATTCCCACCAGAGTGAAACAAAAACCCAGCAAAAGTAGGGCATGGTAGCATGTGGCTTTAATCCTAACACCCAGAAGGCAGAAGCAGGTAGATTTCTGTGAGCTCAAGGCCAGTCTGGTCTACAAAGTGAGTTCCAGAACAGCCGGAGAGCTACACAGAGAAACCCTGTCTCAAAACAAAAACCAAAACAAAAACAAAACATCCCAGTGAATTGTGCTTAGCCTGGTAATAAATGTTCATGAATGTCATTTCCTTCCACACTTTACGAAAACACCATTCTCAAATCTGGAGAGACTGCTTGGCCATGAACGTGACTGACAACTAACACAAGGACTGAAGAAGGAAAATATTCTGAACTGACTCTCACAGCTAAGGCCCTCCATGCTGATCTCTTCTTCTCCATGGGAAGACATCAGTTCCCCAGGTTTGGGTCATAAGTTTACATTAGTAACTCAGATAGGAAGATTACAACCTGAGACATCCAGAGCAGAGAGGAAGGGAGGCTACCCTGGAATGGGTGGACACTAGTGAAGAGGTAGTCCCAAGAACCAAGAAAGTAGTCAGGCAGAGCATTGCTGGTGAGCCCAGGTCCCAGGTCCATGAGACAATCAAGTCAGAGAGTGGGTTTCACTGTGGCAAATCCTAAAGGCTAGCAATATCCATGACCCAAGATGAGGACACCATGGTCATGGGTGACCTGGGTTGACAGCAAGACTCTCTTGTAGCCCAGGGTATGAGTGAAGGTTCAGTTCTCAGCTGGGTAGATGGCTCAGTGGGTTAAGCGCTTGCCACACAAGCCTGAGGACCTAAATTCGAATGCCCAGTAAAGTCTGGCATGCATAGTGGTTGCTTATGACCCAAGTACCCTGGAGGCAGAACTCTAGGGGTTCTCCAAAAGAAGTAGACTAGTCAATATAGCAAAATAAGTGAGCTCTGGATTCGAGCAAGAGACTCTGCCTCAGTTTGCAAGGTGGAGAGAAATCAAGAAAAACAGTGACATCAAACTCTAGCCTCCAAACTCATGTGCCACACACACATGAACACACATATAAGCATGCACCACACACACACACACACACAAAAGGAAGAAAAATAGGTTGGTTGACAGGTACAAGCCAGGACCCAGCAGCAGCTAGGCAAGACTCCCTACGAAACTGAATCTTGTTTCAAGACAATGCAAACACAGAACAGTGGGAAGCAGGTAAATCGGGACAAAAATCCTGAGGAAAATGGTGAGCAAGCTGGAGGGTAGACCAAGACCGGAGGATGGTGGGAGGCAAGCAGATGATGCTGCAGCCTCTGTTCAAGGGCTCACGTTCAGATGTTCAGCACTAAGAGAAAGCAAGCAATGCTTTATCAGGGGTTTGGGATGAAACACATGGGTTCAGTTGTTGGGAGGGTTCATTTCTTCCTGGAGTAGGCAGTCCACAGCATGTGACTCTCTGAGTGTTTTCTGTATCTATTATGGTTTTTACTCAACTCTCAAATCCGCAACACAAACAGTGAAGACCTCCAGAAGGTTAGTGTGTGGATAATGACCTTGAGAGTCACATGACTTTTCCCACCTCACGTCTTTTTTTAAAGCATTGGTTTTGTTCACATTGGTGCACAGGTGTACCAAACACACGGCAGTCAGAGCCCAGCTTGCAAGGACTTGCTTCTCTCTTTCCACCATGTGGATCTTGAGGAGTTGAACTCAGAGGTCACAGGCTTAGCAACAAGCACCTTTACCCATTGAGACATCTTATCGACTGTCCATCTCCCATCTGAAAGCACACATCTAATCCCCAACATTAACACTATCCTCTTCAGCCCTCGAACAGACCCAAATCCCACCCTCGACGTTCCTGCCCATCTATACACAGCCACGCCCTGTCATGGCGCTGCCCAGGGACTATGCCTCACTTCCACCAAAGTGCTATGGACCAGTGGGAAGGAACGACTTGACAGCACTCCGTGGAAAAAGAAAAAGCTCCAGATTCTCAATGACTGCTTCCAGTCACCCAGCCCCCACCCCTGCCAATACAGCTTAGGTGGTCAGGACAGACATGGTGGTACACATCTTTAATCCCAGCGCTCAGAGGCAAAGGCAGGTGGATCTCCAAGTTTGAGGCCACAGTGAATTCCTGGCCAGGAAGGGCTACATGTACATCCCTGTCTCAGAAACGAACACAAAACCTTGGTTCCCCAGCTCTGTGCCTGGCCTCCACACTATGTTAAATGGATCATTTCCTCTTGCCCAGAGTAGATTGCAACGTCCAGGACTCAAGTTTTCTCCTTGGTAGCATGAGAAAGACACCAGGAGACCTAGATGGTCACTACTGCCAACCCAAGACTCCATGACTTCCTGATTCAGGAGACCAAAGAAGTCTGGCATTGTCCGACTCAGGGAGCCAGATCACATTCTCTGCTGGGGAGGAGCGCCAAACTGGAAGAGCAGGAACAGTCACCAAGCCACAGCCCCGAGAGGTGAGGAAGCCACTCACGTCTGGGCGCTGGGAGGCTCTGCCCGACTTGTGCCGAGGGTTCAATTCTTGTAGGTGAGAAAGGCACAGATCTAGGGCTAAGAGACTCTGCCCCACCCCCAGGTCTGCTCCTCAGCTCTCCTCTCCCTCTCTCTTCATTCCCCCACCTAATGCCCCCTACTCGGGATTAAATCAAGATTCCGGTTCATGCTAAGAGTGCACACACCACTGAGCAATATGGCCAGCTCTAGAGAGAGTTCTCTTGGGGTGTGCACGTAGGTATGTGTTGAGTGGTCTCTCGCTCATCTCTCGCTGTGTTTAAACAGCTCTAGACACAAAGTCTTAGAAAGAAACCCAACCCCTCCCCGACCCCCCAGTGCTCCTCCCAGCCGTGGCAGAAGGTGAGGCAGCCATCCTGACCCCTTCCGCCTGGCTTCTCACCTGGGGATTGTCCATGTACCAGAGGAGGCAGTTGGCCTGGGTGTCCAGGATAAAGTACCTCCGCAGGAACTTGCCACTGTTCTCATTGTCCTCGATATCCAGAAACCCACAGATTCGGTTCTGCCGATCCACATAAGGCATTCCTGGGCTCTGCTCACATTACCCTGCACAACACGAGAGAGATGCTGGTGAGAAGTGGGCTAAGGCAGGCTCTGAGGGGTTGGATGAGCCTCACCTGTCCCTGGTTTGACTCATCTCTGTGACACACTGGGCCCCTTGCTACCACCTTCCTTCCCTAGGCACCAAAGTCTGCCCTACTGGGCCCTGGAATTGTCTACCAACTCTGAGCTGTCGTTTTTGATGACTGTTAGTGAAACCCATTAGAACTGGCTCAGCACATTTTCCTGAGGCCCTACTGTGTGTATGCGTGCATCCAGAGCCTCAATTTAGTCAGAATTCTTCCTGGGTCATCACTAATGACTTCCTAGTCATCCTGCACCTCGGTTTCCACACCTGTGAAGTGGGGATAATCATGAGTTAAGTTATAATTATATAATATATGAACATATATCATGTGATTATATAATAATCATGAGGTATTCAAGAAGCCTGGCCATCAGTCATTACACAATGCCACTATAATGGGCTCCTGGAGCCTCTTGGCAAAGCCACGCCCCTTAGTCGTCCTTGTTGCAGCTGCCCCTCTGCTGTAGTGACTCAACCATGCCCCATAAGGATTCACATGCCGAAGTCCTAACCTCCATATCTCAAAATATGACTGAATTTGGAAACAGGGTTTTGGCTTTTTGTTTATTTTCTGTTTTGAAACAGGGTCTCACTCTGTATAGTCCAGGCTACCCCGGGCTATCCTCAAACTCTTAATCCCGATGCCTCAGTCTGCTAAATTGCTGAAATTAAAGGTATGCACAACCACACCCAGCTACAAACAGAGTCTTTAAAGAAGTAGTTAGCACATACTTAACACATATTTAGCAAGTATTTAGCCCTGGCCCACTGATACCACATCTTTGAAGATGACATTTGGAACCCAATGGTCCCAGAAACGAGAAGACAGCCATCAAGAGAAAGAGAAAGGCCTGAAACATCCCTTGATCTTCCACTTCTGGCCTCCAGACAGTGAGAAAATAAATTTCCATTGTTTAAGCTCTCAGGCTGTGGGCTTTGCCATGACAACCTGAGCTGAGACTCCCACAGCTACCAAATGCCTACAGATTTGATTTTGCAGATCAGCTGGACGCATTCCTGGGCTGTGCCCACATCACCCTGCATGGGAGGTGGAAGGGGGCTAGTGAGGAAGAGGGTGAAACCACTTGTATCTCAGGACCTGGATAAGCCTCACCTGGCTGGAGTCATCTCACTTCTGTGCCGAGAATAAACAGAAAGCAATAAAAGCAAGTCCCAAAACCTGAGCACCTTCCCTGAGTCAGAGCAAGGCCTCTGGCAACATGACAATAGTCACTTGCATGACAATAGTCACTTGTCATCCGAGTCACGGCACCAAAAAAAAAAAAAAAGAAAAAATATATAGTCATTTGTCCTGGCCACCTCATCTCTCCAGAATGCTCTCTAAGAGCCTACAGGAAAGGGAGAGTCCCCAAGACACACACACACACCCCAGGAGAGAAACAGCCAAGACACCTGGCCTGCATTCATGCACTGGGAGGAAGTACTAAGGACGGAAGCCCTACAGGGCTACAAAGCTCCATATCGCCCTCAGATCCCCAAAGCCAGATAACATCCAACCACTGAGCCCTGACTACATCAACAGAGTAAAATTCACCATGGCCTGAGCCGGAGGCCCTGCAGCCAAGCAAAAGTGTGACATGGCCGATGAAGGGACCCTATGAGCCAACACTGACTCAGAGAATCTATTACCCTAGCTTTCCAAGCCCAGAGGGGACAAGTCTCATGAAGCAATGGGACACATTTCCAGGCCAGGCTTGTTCGACAAGTGGGGTGGTGTAGTCTCTCCCATTCCAATGAGCCTGTGGCATCGAGAGGGTCCCCCCAAGAAACGAGTGTCACATATGTTCACATGCACACGCGCAGACACCAGTGAACCCCATGGTTTGGGCATGTGCTGGCGGGATTCTGAACAGGGACAGAAGCTGCAGCCACCTAGAGAGCTCACGGCGACTCTTAAGGAGTGCAGGGTCAGAGAATAAAACAGACAGCAGAAACAGTCAAGATAGAACAGCACAGCGAAGCTAAAAGGGAAGTAGAAGAGGAGGTGAGAAGAAGGAAAAGATGTAAGAAGGAGGGGTTCTGAAAAGGAAGCTAACTGTGTAGCAGAAGAGAAGGTCACCGAGGGGTGAAGGAGGGGCACCCTGAGCAAAGCCGTGTCACCTGCTTAGAGGTGTTACCCAGCTCCTGTCTCAAAGTGGAGCAAGTTTTGAGTTTGGAGAAATGGAAAAAGCCAAGGGTTAGGAGATGCTTTGGGGACTTATCTAGCACACGCTGGGTGATGGCCAGAAGGACAGAGGCTGTGAATGCCTGGGAGAATAAATGGCTGTTCAAGGAGCAGGGGCCTTGAGGAGAAAGACAGAGGCACTGTGCATGGAAAGGGACAGAACTTTCAGGGAAGGAGGGGAGACACCAAACCATCTCCCCAACCCCCAATCCCCCAAAAAATCTAGGCAAATTCCCTGGACGCCAACCCAGTTCCAGAAGCAGAAATTCCAGAGGTCACAGGACTCTGGCTACTCCAGGAAAATCTCTCCCCACTTCCATCTGAAACAGGGTCTCCCTGTGCAGCCCTGGCTCACTTCATGTAGCCCAGGCTGGCCTCTAACTCATGGTGGTACTCCTGCCTCAGCCTCCCTAGTCCTCAGATGGCACGCCTGCGCCACCATGGCCAGTGTAATGACAAAGAGAACACATCCGGTTGTCAGGGAGAACAAAGCTGACTGGCCCCGGGCCAGCTGGGCAGCCCAGTGTCCACGAACACTGGCTTTCGAAGTTCCCCTTTCCAGCCTACAGGATTGGCCAGAGTCTGCTTCCTCCTCAAGACAGCGGCTGGGAGAAGGGCCTCTTTGTCCAGAACCTTCCTTCTATTGAGGGACTTCCTGGGTGCATGTATGACAGTGTGGAACTGTCATGAGCCAAAAGGAAAGATCTGAAGCAGAACTCCAGCATCCAGACTGAACTGTGTGTGTGTGTGTGTGTGTGTGTGTGTGTGTGTGTGTGTGTGTTTATATATGTGTATGGGGGGCGCGGTCCTCAGAGGACCTAACACAGCTCAAGTCTGTGGGAGGCAGCAGATCCACAGGAAAACGGGCACAATATGGAAATGTTATGACTACGCGATTTGTTCACCAACACTGGTTATAATGGTCCCAGAACATTAATGCATCGACTGCGTATGACTTACTTAATCATAGCTCTAGTACTAAACAACTAAGTCCAGGAGCCAGCTTTTTGATATTATAAATAATACCAAAACTTCCTATTTTGTGTATTTTTTTTTCCTTTGGCACGGAGAAGAGCATCTGTTAAAGATGATGACATGGGAATGGAGAGATGGTCTATGGTTAAGAGCACTTCTGCTCTTGCCGAGGGCCTGAGTTCAGTTCCCAACACAACTACGGCAGCTCGCAACTGTCTGGACATCAGGCACCACACCGTGCATACATACAGGTGAAACACGTTTCAATACACATAAAGTAAAACCAAACAAATTTTTTTAAGGTATGTGATTAGAACCTAGCTGTATGCTCTGTTGTCATCACTGAGACCTACTATAAAACTACTTTCTAAAAATATTTGTTGTAATGAATCATTCACTCACTTGCTTTTTTTTCTAGACAAGGGCTGGAACTCACTATGAAAACCATACTGGTACCAAATTCACTGAGATCTCCCTGGCCTCTGCTGGGATCGAAGGCCTACAAGCCCATGCCTGGCCATATTCTTACATGCAACTGTTCCTAGTTTGACACGCACAAGGGTGACTGGTGAAGGGTGAGTCTTCAAATTTGTTTCTTATTTCATGTATTTTAAACTTTCACACACACACAGACACACAGACACAGACACACACACACACACACACACACACACACACACACAGACACATCTCAGCCTCCAGGGCATCAGGCTTCCTGAGCAGGAAGTTTCATGATGATTCAGATGTCCTAGGTAGAATTTAAGTTCTAAGCATTGCTATAAATGAAAATAAATTACATCCTTAGGGTAAAACGTGTCGCACGTCTAATCCAAGGAGTTGGCAGGCAGAGGCAGGACAATCTCTGTGAGTACAAGGCCAGCCTGGTCTATGTAGTTCCAGGCCAGCCAGGACTATGTAGTGAAACCCTAAATTTACAAAAGAAAGAGAAGTTAAACCTAGAAAAAGTTAGTTGTCTGAAATTACCTAATAACCGGTAGCAGGGAGTAGGCTAACTAGTCATTCAGCTGGAATTCCTGACCAGGATTTACTAGGCAATGAGAAAGTGTCCAAGTTAGTGCCCAAGGCTGCCCACTGTTCCATTCTACGCTGCAATGAGAGGCCCTTGGAGGCTCCTACCCCAAAATATATTTTCTTCAACCACTGAATGCGCAAACCCAGAAACTAAACTTTAATAGGCCTACATCCTGATGGAGATGGGGAACTGAGCCTTACAAGAGTAGAGTAGACCACACACTGGGTGGGTGACAGAGGCACCATGAGGCTAAAGCCTCTGCTCAAAGCAGGTTTCATTTCCTTGGGCAGGTTGGGGTGGGGGTCCTAGGATCCTTAGACACCTGGGACAAGAGGATGACCTTCCTGAAAAGTAGTTTGTCAGTATGCCAATAAGACAGATAAAAATGTTCCTGCCCTTTGACCAAATCATTCTAGTTTCAGGATGCCATCCAAATTATTTATTATTTGAAGTAGAAAGATGAAAACTGCAATCAAATTTATAACAAAAACTTGAAAACGTCCCAAATAACTCAATGATCAAGTCATAATTCAATTCGGAGACACTCAAGTATATTAAATATTGTACAACTGTTAAAAAAATCATTGACTATAAGTAAGTTCTTCTGGGATATGCTTGTATGTGTACGTGCGTGTGTGTGTGTGTGTGTGTGTGTGTGTGAGAGAGAGAGAGAGAAAGAGAGAGAGAGAGAGAGAGAGAGAGAGAGAGAGGAGAGAGAGAGGGAG